GAGTCTGGACAGATAAATAAAGAAGGAGAAACTTACAATACACCCACACACATGATTTGGTAGTCAATACATTCCTCCCTAAGAAGGAAGAACATTGGATCAGAGTGGTACTATGAAATAGTAGATGGTTTACTAGGGAGTAATCTGAGTTGAAGAACATCAAAAACCATAAGATCACATCAGGGAAAGTTGTGCAACTAAACACTGAATACAGGTTTGACCTCCCTGATCTGTTACCCTCGGACCTGACCAGTCCCAAACTAGGAATTTTGCCGTACCTGGGGAGGTCATTTTGGGGCCCCCAGCCAAGCTCTGTTCCTCGCTTGACCACCAGACTCCCTACTGGCTCCCCCCCTACTGGTGGCCCAATTGCTGTTCCAGGCTCCCAGCCCCATCAGCCCTGCCACTGCTCCACGAGCTCGGTTCCTGGCCCTGTCGCAGCAGCCTGCTGCCCCATAGGAAAAGAGACAGAATCACCATGAAGGTGAAAGAGGCTGGCTGGGGGTACATGCCCCTTATCTGGGTCTACTCTAACCCTGAGCCTCCCACCCCACCCTTTATGCTGACTGTGGGGGGTGAAGCTCCCTCCCCAAGATTCATATGGAGACATTGCTGGCTATTCCCCTTCATCAGGGAGTGAGGTTAAAGTGCACAGGGGCCAGATGAACCTGGGCCTGCCCCAGCTAGGGGACATGCATCTCTCCCCTGGCTGCACCTGCTAGAGCTGCAGTGGCTATAAGGAGGCACTTCTCACCTGGCCACAAGCTGCTGCGGTGACAGAGGGCTGGGGCTGTCCTCTCTCCCTGAGACAACCTCTCATCCCAAGCCCTGTCCCAGAGAATGATTAAATGAAGCATGTACATTTTCATTTTATTTTTAAAGAAAATTAAGTTAAGGACCTTAGCAATGGTGGTTAAATATGCTAGTATTAAGTATAAGAAGAAAAAGGTCCAAACCAATGCAGAAATCCAAGAGCTGGAAACTTAATTAAGTTAAAAAGGAGTTTAAAATGAACATGTTGAAGTAGATCTGTTTAGAAGAGTTAAGAGAAAATACAAAAAAATGATGGAAACATAATGCAAACAAAATTCCGGAATGTGCAAAGAGTCTACTTGATGAAACAAAAACAAAAGTCTTTCCCCTCCAGTGATATCTGATGGTGGAATAAGTTTGAAAAGTTGTAGAGAAAAAGAACAAACATTTTAAATTTCAGCAAGCAACATTCCAATTAGCAGGATTTTCAGAAGTATAAAAAGCCAAAAAGCCAGCAAAGAAAAAGGTGGCAGTCACAAAGGCTAAAGCTATAGGCTTTTATGCTTGTCGTGAAACACAGGAGGTTAAGAAGGAAATATATAGACAGGCTAAGACCTACAAGACAACTAAAGATATTGGTGAGATCAAAATAAATTGAAAGTGGAAATACATTGATCAATGAAAACAAGATTAAGGAACAGGGGAAAAATTACTTTGAAATGTTTATGAATGAGAAGACTCCAAGAGAATCATGATGTATGATAAAACCAAACCTCTGCTGGCACCAGTACTAAAAGCTGGGTCTGCTGGCACCAGTACTAAAAGCTGAAAAAAGGAAAAGCAACATAAAAAATAAGATCACTCTCGGCTGCAATAGCATAGCAGTAAGAACACGGATGGACGTGCAAAAGTCTGAACTTATTGACGCAACTGTTTAATTCCATCATGACTGAAAAGATAGCTGATGTCTGAGACAAATACTAGTACTAATTCACCCTAAAAGAAAAAGAGACATACAACACTGTGCAGTTACCTCAGCATTAAATGTATAAGTCACACGATGAAGAAAGAGGGAGACACAGAAGACTTACTGGGATAAAGGTGTCTATTTGAAAAAGAAATGGCATGAAAATCAGAGATACAAAACAGAGTATATGATCTATAGATCTGATGATGCATTGCGAGAAGACAATGAGACTAGTCTGGAGGGGCCAATCACTACCACCAGGAACAGAAATTCAAGAACCTAGGTTTGATAGGTTAATAGTGTACTCAATAATAAACTTATATGCAGAACAAGAAAGGTATGGACTAAATGGAGAGAAGTGTATGGAGGAATTGGGATAGGAGAATGACCATCAAATTGAAAAGCAAAGCTCATAAGACAGTAATTATCCCTACACTTTTGTATAGCTTTCAATGCATAGCAATGAGGAATTTTCAGAATTAGATCCTTAACACAGTGGAAAGGAAAATGTTAAGATGGATGCTTGGCATTATCAGACTGGACCATATTCATAACAAACAAATTAAGAGAAATGTGAAAGTTGTACCAATTATAAGAAAGCCAAGGGAATCCAAAGCTTAGGGAATTTAGCTGGTTTGGACAGATGAAAAGAGCATAAAAAGAATACAGGAAATAGAGTGAGGGTCTGAAAACTAGATTGATAGATATTATATAAAAGGATATCATTAGCTGAAGAGTTTCCAAAGAATTGCTCCAAGACAGACTCGAATGGAGAAGGAATGACCCCATATAGATGAAAACAAATACTAGAAGAGGAGAATATGTAATTTGCACAAGACTTTGAGCACTTCAGTAATTAATGTCCACCCAGTTGTATTTCTTAATGAATGGTATAAAATGGAATTGCCTCTGGTTTAGCCAGTTTCTGAAGACAACATACTAAAAAGTAAGATACCAAATGAAAAGAAATCCAAAAAAGCAGAGACAATGTTTTAAACTTCACATTTGAGCATGATCAGTTTTTTTTCTTGGACACACCTTCTTTTTCTTTGAAACATTTTTGTTATATTTATTCTAGATTTGATTAAAGAATGTTTAAAATATCCACAAAAATAATAAACAGGTGGCTGCTTTCAGAAACAATGAACGCCACCAAATATTACAATATTGTACTCATAAAACATTTTGTGCTTACCACTTAAGATTAAGTACAACATTCAGTAAAGTATTTCTATAATTCTTAATTAGGCCAACATAGCACACAGACGATGAAAGTAACATTTTAATGCAATTTAGCAACATTTTGTTCTACAGACTTGAAGTGTTAAAGCACATCTTATCCTTTGTGAGAATGATTCTCAGAGATCACTCAAGGTTGATAATCATCAATACAAAAACAAAAACAAAAGTCCTTCCTGGGTTTAGGAGCATAAGAACAGCCACACTGGGTCAAAGCAAAGGTCCATTTAGCCCAGTATCCTGTCTGCAGATAGTGGCCAATACCAGATGCCCCAGAGGGAGGGAACACAATGGCTGTGTCTACACTGGCCACTTATTCCGGAAAATCAGCCGCTTGCCAGCTATCTACACTGGCCCCTTGAATATCCGGAAAAGCACTGACGATCTACTGTAAAATTGTCAGTGTTTTTCCAGAAAAATTATGCTGCTCCCGTTCGGGCAAAAGTCCTTTTCCGGAAAACTGTTCCGGAAAAGGGCCAGTGTAGACAGCACAGTAGTGTTTTCCGCAAAAAAGCCCCGATCGCGAAAATGACGATCGGGGCTTTTTTGCAGAAAAGCGCATCTACATTGGCACGGACGCTTTTCCGGGAAAAGTGCTTTTCCTGCCAATGTAGACACGTTTTTTCCGGAAATACTTATAACGGAAAACTGTTCCGTTTTAAGCATTTCCGGAAAAGGGTGCCAGTGTAGATGTAGCCAATAGATAATCCTCACATGATCCCTCTCCTGTCATCCATTTCCATACAAACAGAGGCTAGGGATACCATTCCTACCCAACCTGGCTAATAGTCATTGATGGGCCTAACCTCCATGAATCTATCTAGCACTTTTCTGAACCCTGTTAAAGTTCTAGCCTTCTCCACATCCTCTGGCAAGGAGTTCCAGAGGCTGACTGTGCGCTGATTGAAGAAAAACTTCCTTTTGTTTGTTTTAAACTGCTGCCTATTAATTTCATTTGGTGACCCCCTAGTTCTTATATTGTGGGAATAAGTAAATAACTTGTCCTTATTCACTTTTCCCACACCAGTCATGATTTTATAAGCATGATTTCGTGTTTCTTTCAGACAACAGCCTCAGCACTTGTCAGATTCTCCCAGGCATCCAGAAACAACATAGTCTCCCCACAAATCACACAGGAACAGATTATGATCTCCTTACTGACACTGCTAAGCACTTACAAGTAGTCTCACTAATATCAATTGGGTAACTCATGAATATCTGCTCATCACTTTTGAGCAAGCGGTTCACAACCCAGCCCATAACAGCAGACTATGAGAATAGTTCAAACAGGAACCTCTTCCACTACTAATACTATAAGCACTAGTGGAGAAATCAAGCCCCCTGCCTCAATGTCAAAACCCTGGAAACAGCCTTGACCTGATATTTCAGATATGGTGGCCTTCAAAGTTTTTACACACATGCTCTCACAAAGACAGACAGACACATACATACACACCACTGCATTTTGTTTGCATTTTTGTTGCAATATGCTTTTTCCTTTCTGCATCACCACAGCCCAAGCTGGACAAATACATACAGTTATAACCTGACAAGTCACATGTTCCTAGATGCTACGTTGCTCTGTCGCCAGTGTCAGGAATGGATGCTGTTGTAACGTGTGTGTGTGCAATTTCCTTAGCCGTTAGAGTGTATTTCCCCCCTCTCTCCTGGGTAAGCGTGTGATCTATAAAACCCACTGAAGTCAATGGCAATTCCTCGCTGATTTCATTGGGGTTTCGATCAGGCTCACGAATAGTTTCTGCGGGGGGGGGGCTGTTACGCCTCACAGGGGTTGATCCAAATCCCAGACTTTCCTATTCCCACTCAGCTGCATTATGAACGCCACCCATATCCCAACCCACCGCCACAACTCGAGCCACCGCGTCCCTGGCTCCTGCTTCGCAGCATCTCCCCCCGAGCCAGCAAGAGAGCGGCCCCTCACGGAAATGACACGAGAGAAACTGACTGAGCCATCTTCACACAGGATGCAGCGCCCAGCCCCGGGAGGGCACCGCGGAGCTTCTCCCGGACCGCACCGTACCTCTCCCGCAGGGCTCCAGCGTCGCGCTGCGCTGCTGCCGCCCGCCCGGACAACCGGCCCCTCGGCGGGAGAGAGCCTGCCTCGTTCTGCGAGTGTTTGCAGGAAGCCCCCGGCTGCCTGGTTACCGGCGGCAACAATCCCACACACGCTGCGGCCGTACACACGCGGCTGCACCTAGCAGCGGCCACCTCCTCTCTCCTGCAGGCAGTCACGCCCCGCGGACCCTCCCCGCCTTCCCCTCGCCGGGGCTGCAATGGGGGAGGCAGGTGTGTGAGTGGAGGGTTGCAAGCCCCTTGCACGTAACAGGGGCCCCTCCTCTCAGGGCTCTGGTCCCTCCCAGCCGTTTGCCTCGCCGGGGATGCACTGCGCGTAACTGTGGGAGAGGCTGAGTGTATGTAGGCGATGCAGGGCTTCCCTGCTCAGAGAGCACCCCCACCCCTACACACGCACACGCCGCCAGCAGCAGCAGCACACACACGCACACGCTAGCCCGCCCCCTTGCAGTGTTTCCCAGGCAGCGGCTGAGCTGTCATTTGCCCCCAGCCTTCTCCTCTGTCTGTCCCCGCCCACCCTGGGGAGGTTCCCTTTAGTGGGAGGAGGCGGCCCCGTCCCTCCTTCCCTCCAAGCTCCTTCTCGCGGCTCCTTGTGATTTGCTTTGCAGCAGCCCAAGCGCCGCGCCGGGTCCAAAGCACGCTATTTCTGAGGGGCGAAAATGGACCCTGCGAGACAGCGCTCTACATTTTGCAAGCACAGACTCCCATGTGGCGCACGCAGCTGTTCGGATGCCCGCAAGGAAATGTGGGTCGAAATTGCAAGAGCAATCCACGTGGGCACCAGTTCCCTCCTTTTACATGCATACCCGCATGATTTACCAGCTCAATACTTAGCCACTCAATCGCACTTGTACATTTGCACTAATATAAGGGCAGAAATATAAGGGCACCTGTAATGTTAGAGGCGTGCTTCCGCCCCAGCTAAAAACGGGGCAAAAATATTCTGTAGTAATGATCCAAAAAGACTACTGTTTATTCTTTGCTTGTATGGGGCCTTCATGGCACTTCACAAATATTAATGATTTAATCAGTCCTGTTCGAGGAAACTGAAGAACAGAGAGATGTGAGTGACTAACATAATATGATAGAGATGTAGCCGTGTTAGACTGGTGTAGCTGAAACAAAATACAGGACTATGTAGCACTTTAAAGACTAACAAGATGGTTTAATAGGTGATGAGCTTTCGTGGGCCAGACCCACTTCCTCAGATCAAATAGTGGAAGAAAATAGTCACAACCATATATACCAAAGGATACAATTTAAAAAAAATGAACACACAGGAAAAGGACAAATCACATTATAGAACAGAAGGGGG